CCCCCAAAACCCCAAAACCCCAAAACCCCAAAACCCCGTGCCACTAGATTATAATAGATAATATATTAATACTTTAAAATCCGAAATGGAAGAGCAAAAGACAAATAAAGGTATTCTATTAGCCTGTGTGTACCTTCTAAACGTATTTTTAAGTTGGAAAAATTGGGGTTACTAGTTTTGCTTGATTTTAGGATGATTCAGGTACTTTTTGTGCTCACCGGATTTGAAACTGCTGATAAATATAGCTGCGAGATTATGAGTGCTAGGCCAGCAGGGATTTCAACTTTTTTCTTGGGGTGGAGATTGGTGTGGTGAATATTAGGACGTTTTCATTGGGTAAATAGATATTTCTCTTGTATAAAGTGGGAGGGTCTAGCTCGATGGATGAATTTTAGCCAAAAGTTTCCAAAACTATGGGGTAAAGATTTATCCAAACTTTCTTTTTAGTGAAGGTTTGAGATTTGAGGAAGAGTGTGAGCGCTCCCTTGTTGCAATTAAAGTAGTCATGTTAAAAATAATATTAATTTTTGAGTCCTAGTTTTATAAATAATCGATAAAATTTTGGAAATTTTCTAAATGATTTCAACAGGATTGTCTTGGAAAAAATTATGGGTGAAAGTAGCATAATAACAGACAAGGAGAATATCTGACTTCTTATAGTCAAGAATAAAATCCAGATAGCTTCTGGAAGATGGAGCTCCCAAGAACATCAGCTATTTATTGAATGTATTAGCTTCTCTTGATCTTTAGGCCTTCAGAAGTATGGCAAAGACTGGTCAAGATTAGAGAAATGAGTTCCAACAAGAACAAAAATTCAAATCAGAAGCCATGCTCAAAACTTTTTTGAAAATATTAAAAGAGAATTTAATATTAGTAACCCGATGAATTTTATCATGAACCAGCCCCAAGGTAAGATACTGAGTATTTTAATAAAGCTTGACTATATCTATGTACAAATTTTTACTTTTAAAAATGCTGAAAAGAGCATAAATAGCTCTTTGGAGATTACATTTTATAGGTTTACATTCCATAAATGGCTTTAATGATAGCGAAGCTATAATTTATTTTGAGAAACAGATACATCTTTCTTATTACTTTATTATCATACTCTTAGATAAAGTATTTAATCTTATAATATAGATATAAGATCCAAAAATCAGAATGAGCATCGCCGTCTTGTTTCAAATTCACAAAGGTATAAGAGGTCTAAACTTTAGGATGCCAAATAATCATTCTAATAATCCATATCCTGACAGAACCCAAGAGAGATTAGATATATCTGAAAGACACAAGAGAAAATAGAAGAAGTGAAGAATCATACAATAGGTCTTCTGAGCAGAGACTACAATCTTCTAGTAAATATTTCAAAGACCAAAAAGGAGAGCATATTAATGCATCTACAGCTGTGAATTCAGCTTATGTGTGCCTCAACAGAGGCGATGTAATAATCAAAGCGAATGAAATTGAGACTATTATTCCATGTGATATAGAAAACAGCACTCTCCCAAGGTATGATTCACATAATTTTTAGTGGCAAATCGGTACCTCATATTTTCCCAAACCAACAAGTTAATATCACAATTTTACCACTATCCAAGAGTACAGTTCCAATGGCATACGATGTGAAATCCAAAGGGTTTACTTGTGCTAATCAAACTCCCCAAGCCCCAAAGCCTGTTCCCAATTTTGGCTCCCATCTAACTCCATTCCAACAAGGCCTATTACAAACATTCAACAAGCTATTCTGCCTCAAAGATTACAACATCAATTGTTCTGGTCCTCCAAACCACCCTTCCAGTCCCTCTATAAACATCTCTCCAGCTCAAAACTACGTTTTAAACAGTATCTCCCAATCATTATCGTCTGATAGGATCTCTGAAAGCTCAAACTCCAGCAACAATTCCCAGAATTCACAACCAATAAATCCTAACAAGACGAACCTAGACTACTTCAAAGTCAACAAGATCTCCCATAAGAACTCAAACTCAGATGAGGTATCCAAAAAGTTATAACACCTAAATTTTGATTCTAAAAATTTATAAAATCCAAGCTCTCATTAGGATTATTTTACCTCCTCTAAATAATACACACTAATCTCTCTTGTATTATTCAGAGTCAATTTGTAAATATTACCCCGGGGTTTTGGGGTTTTGGGGTTTTGGGGTTTTGGGG